ATCAAAATACCCGGTGTCACAGTCTGTGAGGCAATGCCCACTTTTGTCACAGTCTGAACAATGCTTGTTGGTCTTGCACTGGTCGCCTGAAAATTGAAAAGAGAACACCATATTGATTATTAAATAAAGCATAAACTCTGTCATCTGTAAATGGCGCCAGTAACGTTTGCATACTACTGTAATCAAGTAACTGTGCATTATGTGATGTTATGCCACTTTTAATGCAAAAAGATAATAACACAATTTGGGGTGATTTCCTCAATCGCTGTTTAACGGTTGACAGGATAATATAGAAATCTGTATGATTTGACATTAGGCATCGTGGCACGCCCTTGGAGTGATGCGGTGTCAAAAGTCAGTTCACAACTTCAGTATCGTGGGTGTCCACTATTGGCGTCGATGCAGGCTTGACAACAAGACGATGCATAGACGACACTAAGCGATTGAAGAAAGCTTGGGGGATGTTGTTCCATGTCTCAACCAACGCTTGTCCCAATTTAACTAACGTCAATCGCTGATCTGGACTTGACGTTAACATCGTTCCATTTCACCTCAAGCGTGCTCAATAAGGGACAGGTCCTGAGAAACAACTGGCCAGGGTGGTACCGGAATGTTCTGCGGTTTCAGGAAATCTGTCACAACACGAGCGGATGTGGATGGACATTATCTTGCTGAAGCGTGATGTCACGTCTCTGTCCTTGAATGAACGGCTGAACATGGGGCCTAATGGTCTCATCCCTGTATTGCAGTCCTGTCAGATTACCCTTGATAATGACAACTTGTGTCCTAACATGAGATGTGATGACTTCCAATACCATAACGCTTCCGTCATAAAACTGTCGACGTTGAGCAAACGTTCACCTCGTCGTCTGTACACCTTTTCCCTGCCATCTGAGCGGTCCAGATGAAATCTCGACTAATAAGTGAACAAACCACCATCCCTAAATATTTGCTCCTGTACCGTAGATGCTGTCTGCACCAGGCTAGACGTGCCTGTCGGTGACGTTGGAGCAAAATTGGATGCTGTGCACCCACAGTCCGTTGTGTAGAGTCCTGGAACTGATTGGACGTAAGCAAGGAATGGTTCGAACAGTCAAACTGGCAGTCTGAACTCGGTTCCGTAGAAACCTTAGAAACCATCTTGGTTGTCTTGTTGACGTGACGTTACGTGTGGACGGTCCGTCCGAGGCAAAGCTTTCTTGTTCCCATTATGTTGAAAACGCCCCCATAGTGATGATATCGCACACAAAAACGTCCCCACATTGGTTCACCGCGTGAAACACATTTCTGGTGTCCCCTGCCATGATATTGCTGGAATATTGCCAAAAGCGGCGTAAAACTGAATTCACTCACTCACACAGTACAACTACGTATGCAACAATACTTCCTCATTCTGAACCTCATTCGATTCCCCACATTGGTTCACCGCGTGAAACCCATTTCTGGTGTCCCCTGCCATGATATTGCTGGAAAATTGCTAAAAGCGACGTAAAACTGAATTCACTCACTCACACAGTACAACTACGTATGCAACAATACTTCCTCATTCTGAACCTCATTCGATTACACACATTGGTTCACCGCGTGAAACCCATTTCTGGTGTCCCCCGCCATGATATTGCTGGAATATTGCTAAAAGCGGCGTAAAACTGAATTCACTCATTCACACAGTACAACTACGTATGCAACAATACTTCCTCATTCTGAACCTCATTCGATTACACACATTGGTTCACCGCGTGAAACCCATTTCTGGTGTCCCCTGCCATGATATTGCTGGAATATTGCTAAAAGCGGCGTAAAACTGAATTCACTCACTCACACAGTACAACTACGTATGCAACAATACTTCCTCATTCTGAACCTCATTCGATTACACACATTGGTTCACCGCGTGAAACCCATTTCTGGTGTCCCCTGGGGTGATGTTGTTGGAATGTAGCTAAGACTAAACTCACTCACTCATTCTGACATCAGGCTCATAACGTGCTTTGAGGCAATACTTATACATTTCTCTAAACATTCTTTGTACGAACTATTGACAGACATAATCACATTAATCAGTCATAGCTCCAAGGAGTTATAAACAGATTAGTAAGTCAGTTTGAAACACTTACCTTTAGAAATGATTATTAGATATGCCATACACATAGCCTTCAGCAGGGTCATGCTGTGTTCTCAAATCACAAACACAATATGGGCAGTGTTGATACTATAAGTCTGTGCCTCACTGAGCGATGACGAGCAGAGTGCGTGTGTAATGTTAGTTTGTTCTTATAACCAACTTCAGCTTTATGAAACAGATTTCATCTTCCTCCCAAGCCGGAAAAAATATATCACAAGTTTAGACTACCACAACTGTCGTCCAGATCTTGCTCTTAACTGATACATATACAGTCAAACCCCTTTATGTCGAACTCGTGGCGACCTTGAACAAAGTTCGAGTTATCCTGGTATTGTACAATATAACCTTCTCAACATGGCAATACGTAGACATTTGACAAGTAGTTAGCATGTGTGACACTGTCCTGCTACCTTACATTAACCACACGGTTGCTGCTGCTGCTACTACTACTACTACTACTACTGCTACTTCTACTACTACTACTACTACTACTACTACTACTACTACTACTACTACTACTACTACTACTACTACTATGTGGACCTGGGGCAAGAAATACCGGATACCATCGTTGTGCCACTTTTAAAAGTTCCACGCTAGACCTCTACGTTTTCGACCGGTCATCAAGGCACAGCTTATGACATTCTTGGACGACAACTTCGAGCTATTGAGCCTCCTTTTCACAATCTGCAGGAACTGACACAGGCACTCCATGAATAGTAGAAGAAGACTCCATGACAGAGAATTCCATACTGCCAGTATAAGGGGGAGACTGTTATCTGTGCTACACCAGGTACTGATGTGGTCGTCAATGCTGAAGACTCCATGACAGAGAATTCCATACTGCCAGTATAAGGGGGAGACTGGTATCTGTGCTACACCAGGTACTGATGTGGTCGTCAATGCTGAAGACTTCATGACAGAGAATTCCATACAGCCAGTATAAGGGGGAGACTGGTATCTGTGTTACAACAGGTACTGATGTGGTCGTCAATGCTGAAGACTTCATGACAGAGAATTCCATACTGCCAGTATAAGGGGGAGACTGGTATCTGTGTTACAGCAGGTACTGATGTGGTCGTCAATGCTGAAGACTCCATGACAGAGAATTCCATACAGCCAGTCTGAGGGGGAGACTGTCATCTGTGCTACACCAGGAACTGATGTGGTCGTCAATGCTGAAGACTCCATGACAGAGAATTCCATACTGCCAGTATGAGGGGAGACTGGTATCTGTGCTACACCAGGTACTGATGTGGTCGTCAAAGCTGAAGACTTCATAACAGAGAATTCCATACAGCCAGTATAAGGGGGAGACTGGTATCTGTGTTACAACAGGTACTGATGTGGTCGTCAATGCTGAAGATTTCATGACAGAGAATTCCATACTGTCAGTATAAGGGGGAGACTGGTATCTGTGTTACACCAGGTACTGATGTGGTCGTCAATGCTGAAGTCTCCATGACAGAGAATACCATACTGTCAGTATAAGGGGGAGACTGGTATCTGTGCTACACCAGGTACTGATGTGGTCGTCAATGCTGAAGACTCCATGACAGAGAATACCATACTGCCAGTATAAGGGGGAGACTGGTATCTGTGCTACACCAGGTACTGATGTGGTCGTCAATGCTGAAGACTTCATGACAGAGAATTCCATACTGCCAGTATAAGGGGGAGACTGGTATCTGTGTTACACCAGGTACTGATGTGGTCGTCAATGCTGGTTCCTACAGTCACAATAATCAGAACTGTGTGACTAGCAGAGTGGTGGACGAGATTTCTTAGTTTGAAGCATTCGAGTCATCAGCGGTCGTATGCTTAATGAGTTCGATACAACGAGAAGTTTTAAAGAGTCTAAATGTTGATAAATATTGAAACAGAATTGAGTGAGTCTGTTTTACAAATATGACCTTTCTATGAGGAAAGTGATATAACCTTTCACAACTTGACCTTCACATAGTAACTACCTTCAAAGTAATGTCACCTTGACCTTAACACTGTTGTGAGTAACGTTTTCTGTTTTGTATTCATGTTCCTCAGGAGACGGAACATATTTTCTTACTGATACTGAACCCAAACATCTTTGACCAGCTCATCCTGTGTTTCCGAATATTTGTTGTTATAATGCAATGATTTGTTTTCAGCTATTTACCAACAAGTCTTTTCAACAGTAAATGTGAGTGTACTCTACATGAGATTGCATGTCGAAATGTGATTGATAAAATAGCAACATAAACATATCTCTAGTAAAAGCATAGTACGGTTCTGACTTTATCGCTGGTCACAGCATAGTACGGTTCTGACTTTATCTTGAATCGTCAACACATAGAGATGACGTCAGACGTGGTGAAGATGTGAGCGTATCCTGCCACACCAATGGCAGCATCACAAACACATGCAAAAGCGAGACAAGTGGGTAACGACTGGACGTATTTCTATTTTACCGTATCAGATAACATGTATGTCGAACGTTGAGTTATGTAGTTTGGCTAATTGGACCCTCTGGAAGTTATACGGAAGATGATGTTCCTGTTAGCATGTACAAAGTTACAACTTCTTTGAGAGGCATTTTAGAAGTTCGGAAACAATACTTACAAGTTGCTTTCCATAAGTTTGTCAAAAAAATAAAGTGGTTATGACTTTATTAAGAAGGTACTTTAAAGCGTGTGAGTGTGTGTGTGTTTGTGTGTATACACACACAAAAGACAAAAGTCTGAAGATCCTGATATAATTTCTTCAATTCTAACCTGTTTCACATTGTCATTGTGATCATCATGGGAATGACGTTGCTATACTCTGTGTATAACGGCGTTGCTAAGCTATGACGTCACTATGTATATATATTGGTGAATTGGCATTCCGACTGTTGCAGGTGGTCAACTTCAACAATGTTGAAAGTCCTTGCGGTTCTAGTGCCGACCTTCTGTGAGTATCACCTGTCAAGAATCAAGTGCTCTCCACACATGAGGAGTTAGTTATAGTTGTACACTGAGTTAAGCTAATGGTAAATGGGGAACTAAAGATAGTTGATATGAGCTTTACTGGTAAAACTACTAAACAATCAAGTGTCTTTTACTATCTTGTTGGGTAAAACAGCAGATTGATGTCGAGAGGGTTTTGTTGTTTTTCTGGTTTAAAGCCTACATCAGCAACATTCTGTCAGTATATCAGGGGTATATAATTGAATCGGACCAGACAACACGGTAGTTGGAATAATCATCATCGATATTTGCAATTAAAAGCCTGCAGTTTACCTTGTCAGTGGTTAATTTCGTAGATGCCATGGCAGTCTGTATTCATGCTATCTATTATTTCAGTATTTGGCATCTCAGGAGACAGACAATGTGAGTGGGGGACATATGGCGAGAACTGTAACTTGACTTGTCCTGTGAACTGTGCCCTAGTTCCACTAAGTAATCTTCAGCACTGTAACAGAGACACGGGGAAGTGTTCTGCGGGATGCCGGCGTGGTTGGCATGGTGATCTGTGTGACCAATCCTGCAGCACCAACTGTCTCAACAAGACCTGTAACCTGCAAACTGGGCACTGCACACTTGGCTGCAATGGAACCAACATTGGAGATTTTTGTAACGGTACACGAGGTTTGATATAGTTTAATATTAGTTAAAGAAATTATTAAACATTAATTTTCACCATCTATGCCGTTTTTTCTTGGTAACAGCATTATTTTGATAACCGGAACTACAAAGTTCATTTTAGATAGCTGTTGCCCTTAATATAAATTCTGTTGTTTCTGTAATACTGCTGAAACAAATATATACTCACGATATTGTCACAATTGTACAATCGACTCTGATTTTCATTGACGCGTGAAGCTGAAAATGGACACACTGATGTGATTTAACTTTCAAAGATTTCTAAGGCTCCATCAATAACTGACGACTGTTATAAAATGTGTTAATATACAATAAACCCCGTCCATACCAAGGTAGATAAAAGCCCTCCGACATTCAGACAACATCATCATGTATTTATGAATACCTATTAAATACAATACCAGGTGTTCGCACAAAACATTCAGACAACATCATCATGTATTCATGAATACCTATTAAATACAATACCAGGTGTTCGCACAAAACATTCAGACAACATCATCATGTATTCATGAATACCTATTAAATACAATACCAGGTGTTCGCACAAAACATTCAGACAACATCATCATGTATTCATGAATACCTATTAAATACAATACCAGGTGTTCGCACAAAACATTCAGACAACATCATCATGTATTTATGAATACCTATTAAATACAATACCAGGTGTTCGCACAAAACATTCATGGGCGGAACATGTTTCAACTTCACTTTAATCAGTATTTCGAAACAGATTCAGAAAAACGATTTGTCAAACTTTGGGAGAAAACATAAATTCATTGATCCAAAATGAAGTGTACACCATAGGGTTGTATTGGTTTGGCGAGCATTTCATAAGAACATAATCTCAGTTGCTCATGGTCATATAGTTGTACTAAAACCCCTTAAAATCTGTTTTAGCGTTGATATTGCATTTTATGTTCTTATACACCCATACTTTAGGTGAAACACACAAAGTCTAGTTCTCAACGATACACACGTGGCACATATTCTACAATCTTCATCATCATTTCTAAAGTTAGTTTTCATTTCTTGAATTATAAAAAAACAAACCTAGTAAGCCTAGCCCCTTGCTAATGTCATCAATTGTCTACCATAGTAAGCCTAGCCCCATGCTAATGTCATCAATTGTCTACCATAGTATGCCTAGCCCCATGCTAATGACATCAATTGTCTGCCATGGTAAGCCTAGCCCCTTGCTAATGTCATCACTCGTCTACCATAGTATACCTAGCTCCTTGCTGATGTCATCAATTGTCTACCATAGTATGCCTAGCCCCCTTGCTGATGTCATCAATTGTCTACCATAGTATGCCTAGCTCCTTGCTGATGTCATCAATTGTCTACCATAGTATGCCTAGCTCCTTGCTGATGTCATCAATTGTCTACCATAGTATGCCTAGCTCCTTGCTGATGTCATCAATTGTCTACCATAGTATGCCTAGCTCCTTGCTGATGTCATCAATTGTCTACCATAGTATGCCTAGCTCCTTGCTGATGTCATCAATTGTCTACCATAGTATGCCTAGCTCCTTGCTGATGTCGTCAATTGTCTACCATAGTATGCCTAGCTGATGTCATCAATTGTCTACCATAGTATGTCTAGCTGATGTCATCAATTGTCTACCACAAATGAACCATAACTGCAGCCAAAGCTTTCATGTGACCTTGAATGCTTTTGATCTGAGGTGATCAGTACTGAGCAATATGAATACTTTATGGGCTGGACAGCTGGGATTTGACTGCTTGAGAGTGTTCCTCGTCCCTCTGGCCATAGAGTCTTACTCGGATTCTTTATGTATATACATTAACATGTTCTCCTGTTAAGATGGCTAAATCAATGAAAGCGATTTACCTATTTGACCACTATTGAAAGTTTTCACATCATGTCACATGAAGCTTAATGTGAATCCTTTTTCTGAAACTTTCATGCAAGTTTACAAATTCAACTTTAAAGATAACAAAATGCGAGAGTAGCATGAGTGGGAGCGCGTGTTTTGCCCATGGGAACGTCGATGTCTTGTCAACAACTAATGAAGAACACTAACATTTCCCTATCATCTCTCTACTGACATTGTGTCTCAGAGGTTAGAGGTGTGACTCATGGGCTCACCACGTTTAGTGACAAATGTCAACAACTAATGAAGAACACTAACATTTCTCTATCATCTCTCTACTGACATTGTGTCTCAGAGGTTAGAGGTGTGACTCATGGGCTCACCACGTTTAGTGACAAATGTCAACAACTAATGAAGAACACTAACATTTCTCTATCATCTCTCTACTGACATTGTGTCTCAGAGGTTAGAGGTGTGACTCATGGGCTCACCACGTTTAGTGACAAATGTCAACAACTAATGAAGAACACTAACATTTCCCTATGATCTCTCTACTGACATTGTGTCTTAGAGGTTAGAGGTGTGACTCATGGGCTCACCACGTTTAGTGACAAATGTCAACAACTAATGAAGAACACTAACATTTCCCTATGATCTCTCTACTGACATTGTGTCTTAGAGGTTAGAGGTGTGACTCATGGGCTCACCACGTTTAGTGACAAATGTCAACAACTAATGAAGAACACTAACATTTCCCTATCATCTCTCTACTGACATTGTGTCTCAGAGGTTAGAGGTGTGACTCATGGGCTCACCATGTTTAGTGACAAATGTCAACAACTAATGAAGAACACTAACATTTCCCTATCATCTCTACTGACATTGTGTCTCAGAGGTTAGAGGTGTGACTCATGGGCTCACCACGTTTAGTGACAAATGTCAACAACTAATGAAGAACACTAACATTTCCCTATCATCTCTCTACTGACATTGTGTCTCAGAGGTTAGAGGTGTGACTCATGGGCTCACCACGTTTAGTGACAAATGTCAACAACTAATGAAGAACACTAACATTTCCCTATCATCTCTCTACTGACATTGTGTCTCAGAGGTTAGAGGTGTGACTCATGGGCTCACCACGTTTAGTGACAAATGTCAACAACTAATGAAGAACACTAACATTTCTCTATCATCTCTCTACTGACATTGTGTCTCAGAGGTTAGAGGTGTGACTCATGGGCTCACCACGTTTAGTGACAAATGTCAACAACTAATGAAGAACACTAACATTTCCCTATCATCTCTCTACTGACATTGTGTCTCAGAGGTTAGAGGTGTGACTCATGGGCTCACCACGTTTAGTGACAAATTTCAACCAAAGTCAATGAATGGAAATCGCGAGTTTGAATAACCCACATGGTATTTTGTCTGCATGTCTAAAGTTGTTCTTTCTGTGGAAAAACAGAAGATCTGTGTCTTGTATATAGTCTTCCATGATTAAAGTTCTATATGTTAACTTTATGATTCACAGTGGTGTAGTCTGAACACCCTCACAAAAGGCAATGTCATCAGTTGATTGAAATAGAAGCGATAAACGCCTTTTCACGTTCATAACAAATTTCTGCTAAAAGCAAATCGAAACTTGACCTACGAAAACATTTTTTAAAGTAAAATATACATTTCATATATATAAAAAGAGTTAAGTGACATATGTGAAGGAATTCCAGATTACAATTTGGGCAACATATTCGAAGACATAAGTTAGTAAAATGTTCACATTATTCGTTATTGACAGATATGAAACGTAATACTGACTAATATGTGTGGCTTAATTATTTCACTTTCCATTTCTTATATTTCCGTAATTATTCGCTTTTCTTCATGACATAAAACTGAGATCCATTGTTTGGGTAAAGTTCTCATACATATCTGGTGCACAAATGTATTAATATCTCAACTGTCTATATAAAATGTACGTTACCGAAACGAAATGTCACGGAAAGACAAAGATTGTTTCCCTATTTATCATCAAATTTAAAAACAACAAAAAACCCATCAAGAAACGCGATTCAGGAAATGAAACTGTGTTGCTATACACTAAGATGAAACAAATATATTGATGGTTAAAGATTTGAAGTAAATGTTTACAGCACGATAATAATGACCACGTGAATTTTTGTTTTCAAAATATTATTACCGGGATCCTTTTCCGTTTCGTGGTCAACACTTTAACTTGGACAGCTACATCATGGATCCTTGTATTGGTGAATAAAAGGATGTTGCTCAATATACATTCATGACAGAGATGCTGTGGTAATGCTTGAAGTTAAACGTCCAAATAGATAGGCAAAAGTCATTTTTGATGACTCAGTGTCCACACGATAACTGTAGCATAAAAAAAATGTTTTCGTTGCCAAAGACAGGAGAGAACAATCTTCAGTGAAAGAGAAATGCAGTGTATGGCCAGTTTACAAACTACGGAAGGCAGTGAAAGGGAGATAATCCATGTCCATTCAGTTTTGTTTTCAATCTAACAAACACTTATATGGTTAGCAGCAAACAATATACATTGCGTCTTGTATATATGTTTATCTGTGTGTGTATGTATGTATGTGTGTGTGTGTGTGTGTGTGAAAATGTATCTATGCACATGTAGGCGCTTATGCATATATGTATATTTTGTATGCATACAGACAAGTGTAGCAAATTGAGGAATGGAAATAGAAAGAAAAAAAGTTCTTTGCGCGAAAGCATCAATGTGTGCATAACCTGTCTCGCATCCTAATCTGAGCTGGTTAAATACTGACATATCGCCGAGGTATTGTACATCACCTTGATATTCAGTCACCAGCTTAAATGAACACCATGGTGTCCATTTGAAACAAAATTCCTATCCATATTATTTTAAAAATATGTTTTTATTTTATATTATAGATTTTCAGTTACTTAGATGTCATGAAATTTTAGTTCCTGAAATACATACCTGATTTATTCATCAAGGCATCGAATTTCTTTGTCCAGAGTGTGGTCGTGGCTGGTACGGAGATACGTGTGAACATCCCTGCAGCAGCAACTGTGTGGAGGAAAGATGCAACCAAACAACTGGAGTCTGTGTACTTGGCTGCCGTGGGACTTATACTGGAGAGTTCTGTAACATCACTAACGGTACGGAGATATAATGGATAATCTAGATGTATGTGGTTAATGTATAATCTGTAGAAAAAAAATATGGATACCAGAATACAACAGATCTTTTGTCAATTTTTTCTGTACCATATAAGCATGTTTTACAAATGTATCAGTGACCTTTGGCGGTGAGAATGTATATTTGCAAGGCCACATTGAAGCAGTGTCTGTAACCTTCGGTTAGTGAGTGAGTGAGTTAGTTAGATGTAGTTACACTGTACATATTTCAGTCATCTCTATCACCACTATGGTTGGCACAGGTCAACACACCGAATTCAGAGCAATATAGGTTGAATGATAGGAACATATTTTCATTTTGACATATATAGTATCACATTTTAAACATGTATACTGGAATAATAAGGAATGTAGTAACAAAATGTTATAAGTAGTTTGATGCTTTAATGTTGTATTGGTAAGGTAGGATAAAACAGGTCTAATTCTGATACACTATGATAAATATTCCTGAATATTCCTTAAATGTATGTCAAGCGAAGAGAAACCTTATTGCTGGCAAAGGTAGTCAAAAACTTTGGCGGATGTAGTCACTGAACGGATGTAGTCAAAAACTTTGGCGGATGTAGTCACTAAACGGATGTAGTCAAAAACTTTGGCGGATGTAGTCACTGAACGGATGTAGTCAAAAACTTTGGCAGATGTAGTCACTGAACGGATGTAGTCAAAAACTTTGGCGGATGTAGTCACAAAACGGATGTAGTCAAAAACTTTGGCGGATGCAGTCACTAAACGGATGTAGTCAAAAACTTTGGCGGATGTAGTCACTAAACGGATGTAGTCAAAATCGCTGGCTAGTGTAGTCAAATCATTAGCGGATGTAGTCAAAAACGGATGTAGTCAGAAACGCTAGTGGATTTAGTAAAATACGTGAATGTAATTAAAACGCCTGTGGATGTAGTCGAAGATGCTGGTGAGTGTAGTAAAAACACTAGCGAATGTTGTGATAAATGTTGTCTTTGACTCCTGTAGTTAGCAACATCAAGGAAGAAGCAGACAATCTGGCTGCCATACTGGTTCCTGTCTTCCTGGTTGTAGCTGTAGTCACCACAGTCGTCACAGTCGTCGTGGTCCTATTGTAAGTTCATATGCTTCAGGGCGGTGGGATAGCCTAGTGGTTAAAGCATTGGCTCGTCACGCCGAAGACCCGGGTTCGAATTCCCACATGGGTACATTGTGTGAAGCCCATTTCTGGTGTCCCCCGCTGTGATGTTGCTGGAATATTGCTAAAAGCGGTGTAAAACCAAACTCAGTCAGTCATATGCTTCATGTAAAAATGTTGCTTCAAACATCGTTACAACACTAATGTCTGATGTAATGTGTATGTTTTTAGGCTTTTTTACGACCTTGAATGATAACAATTAATCAAACAACATTTGGGAAAAAGTCACATGTAGCTTATTAAAAAAAGGGCAAATTGTGACTCAAGAGCTGGTGTTGACATAGTATTAACATTAACACATGTGAATGTGAACTACGACAGATGATAGCAGCTTTGTCCCTCACATAGAAAAAAATACAACACATGACATAAAAACACAACATATTATCTTTCAACATAATCACCTTCCACATTGGGACATCTTTGCCAACAGGGTTAGAACGATTTTAACTGGTTTCGTTGAGGTGTGGGCTCGGCTGTTGGATAGGTTTCTCAATAGCTGCCACAACGTCAACATTAGAGGTGTCATGGGTTCGTTGTTCATGTCTGAAGTGTAACAGGGATACTGTTTGGTGTTGAACGCCACACTTCTTGTATCCATTATGTTGCTGCAAGAGCACATCTTCCTCAACCGCTATTGCCCTGTCAGCATCCTTAATCAGGAGATGTTGGCTCTGTTGTCAGTGGATGTCTTCCAGAACTAGTGAGGTATCAGGAGAGGTTTCACAAGCATGGCAATGTTGCACTAATCAGCAAAAGGGATCTCTGCTCGGTTATATTTCTACATATATTTCAAACTAGTTTCATTGATGTTAAGACACAGGAGTTCCCCCCCTTTAGTTGTAATGGAACTGTGCAAGGCATGTGTTTAATTGTCAGAAGGGAGTATCAGCATCAATGCTACTCTGTCACCCTTATTGCACTTATTGTAACCGCACACACACATGCATGCTATCGCACATAAATGCATGCTATCACACACAAATGCATGCTATCACACAAACACACACTCTCTCTTCCTCTCTCTATTTACCTCTCACGCACACAGAAGTGTTTCTATTATGCAAGAGACACTACAGTAATCCTTGTCCACGATCATGAAGCAACCAGTGTCTGTGATTTACTTTTTATGGTTTAATCACTGCGTTTTTCTCACTTTTAATCATTCATTCATTCTGCATAGTATGGTTCCGTTATATAATTCATACATTGAAAAACGGTGGAACTTTTAACATGTCGAGGAGCGCTTGATGAAAATATTCTTTAGCATTAGTCAAATAATGTCGGCAAAAACCAATTTCATAATCTCAAAATCGTTCACTAAATACTAAATGAATGAATGAAAGAACGAGGGAATGTATGTATAGTTTAATATAGGGCTTCTGTTCATATGTTTGGAATATGTATACATGTCAGCATTAAAAGTATTATAACTGCAATGACAAATTCAATAAGTATGTGTGTTATTATTTTTGCAGATGGCGCAGACGGAAAAACAGGTAATATTTTATCGCTTTATTTTCACATTTGTAATTACATGTTGTGATACATGACCTGTTTGTGATGTGCAAACATACATAGGTTAAGGATTCTTGGAATGAACGTATCTGACACTGTCGTGAACATGAAGAGATGGATGGATGGAGGTTATGGAATGTTAGCACCATAGTAATCTCAGGAGTTTGAGCCTACAGTAGGGACTATGTTCACATGTCTGGAATATATATCATTTTATTATTTATAGGTTTTTTTCTTTGTTGCAGTGCACAATATGCGGGTGAGTATTTCGCGTTTTCTTGGAACCTTTCCAGCACAAAAATGGCTGGCTGACTTGGATCACTCATGTCATCGTATCCCAGTTGCGTAAATCGATGCTCATACTGTTGATCACTGTATTTTCTGATCAAGTTTCCATTCGACGCCATATAGGTGGAATATTGCTGGGGGAATCGCCAAACAACAAACAAACAAAATATGAAACAAAAACGCAAACAACCCGGTTAGCACCGATGCTGTGGCATTTTGTTCAGCATGTAAAGTAAGTAAAGACTGTCTCGGTTCTACAATACAATTCCTTTACCCTCGGTGTTTCACATTTTCATCTATTCAGTGGAGTAGCATGAGTATATTTTACTACCGCTTTCGTGGTTTGGTGTAGAATATCAATGTCCCTATCATGGTGTTCGTTCCTGATGTTAACGTCTCCACACGTGGTCTATTTACCGGCCTAGTATCTGTAGTCATACCTCATGATGTAATATTGCAAACAATAATGAAAGAAAGTGGGTGATTTTAAAGAATACTAAACACTGCCAAATTCCGTGCATTTTCAGGTTCGTGGGGTCATCTCCACATTTGTCAGCATAATGCCAGCATTCCTTCACAATCGTGGACCTGCATCAATGTGTTGTATCTCCCTCATCTAGCTGTGACTATTTAAATGTTCAAGACATGAAAACAAACCCAATCTCATAAAGTCTACTTCTTAATCCCCAGGTGCTTCATTCAACAGGAAGCCACTGTTATCCCCTGGACATACGGATGAAGGTAACTTCATAATCGCCTTCTGAATGAAGCTTAATAATGAAATAAACCAAAGAAATCACGTTGAATAGAAATCATGTCCAGGCATATACTTCATTTCACATTACTTTCTGTTCGTTACTTCTTTCCATGAATTCATAACACTACATAAATCGATTCAACAATAAGATGAGATTTTAGCAGAGAGGATACTATTTTTTTCATTGACCAACAAAATCAAATAACAGTTAACACGATCTGTGCATTTCATTCAAAGGAGAAGATTAAGTGTCACGGGTAAAACATGAATCATGAATTTTACTTTAAAGGTCACATGCAACGTAAAACACAACTCTGCAGATTCCGATACATTTCTGTATGGACTTAGCGAAACAAATCGTCAAAAATGCAAATTCAACTTATAAAGTTGAAAAATAACGCAATGTAAAAAAACGCGCGAAATCGGAGTTCAAACGTTTCACTAAATTTCCCCAGACTTTTCTGGGGAAAACGGGTTTCAACATCTGGGCGGCGCTCATAGCATATGCACAGTGAAATAGGTTTGCGCAGCTTGGAAGCGGGTTGTCCGGTGAATACTCGGTGAAGGCTTTGGTGTGAGCCATTTTTCTAATGTTGTGTTGATATCTCACAGGACCGAGCTTTTTATATGTTATGACAATAAATTAACTGTTTATATTATTTCATTTGTCTATTTCACCATACGTTCTTCTTACCGAGTCACTTTCTCAGTTCAATACTTAAAAGCAATGTCATTATTTAGCGTTGACAGAATTTCTAACTGTGATATAGATATGTCGTTCTCACAGACAAAACTCAATGTATTGTTTTATTGACACCTATGTGTCTGCCTGCCTGTCTGCTAATGACAATATTCAATACACAGCTGCTATCACTGACCACATGCAATTTGAACTTAACACCAATCAGGCTATACACCACAAACAAAATGCATTGGATTTATGGCCCGAGTTCGGTCTCTGTCGCATGATGTAATTACACAGACAGGCAGGTGTGATACTTGAACACATGACATGTTATGATGTCTGTTGATTGCAAAATGTTTTACACAAAAAATGAGCATGTATTTACAAACCCAACATCTCTATATACACACACACAATGACCCGTGAGGGCATCTGCAAATGAACCAGCCGTTACACTTGAGTGCACATCCACCCGCTCTGACTGGGTTCGGTATGCCGGCTGCTTCGTTTATTGGAAAGTAAACCGAAGTACACAATATTGCACTTTTGATTTGCGATTGTACGCTTATAATGTTGTTTATATATTTTTTCATAACCAGCAATGTATATTATATGTCATGAATAAGTGATAATTGTGTTTTAATTATGTTTGATTTTTTGGTTGCATGTGACCTTTAATCAAATGCATCATGAATGTTTTATGGACCATTTACCTCCTGTTTTCACTACATAATTATATTCAATGACATTTATATGCTGAATCTATGTACTGAAAGAATATAAACGTACATGTATGAAATGTTTCCATAACCAGAAGGAGCTGAAGCAAGGGAGACGACTCCTCCTCGAGCTGGAATAATGCATGAAGGTAGATACAGATGATTAGAACTATTGGACTAATGTACCTTTAGCACACGTCCAAGAATATATTAAAACAATGCAATGGCTTTCCTTAACAACATATATGCACATCGTTTACTCTCCATTATGAATATTCAATATTCATAATGACAGAACCAGTACTTTGAAGTTACCTTCCAGACAACCACAGATTTATTCAGCAACTATCAGACTTTAAGTCTATCTTGAAAACGCACTTTGACAGAGCTGATTTCCTAAAACATGTCTTTCATGGACTGGAAACAGGCACGTGCACTATATAAATAACTGACTAATATTATAACATACTGGGTGATATAGACTATACAAAACAAACACTAATAATTAGCACATTACCACAGACGTTTTAATTGGAGCCCATATCAACAAAGAACGCCAGTTGCACAAAGGCAAGGCAAAACTTCTTTCATTCACCAACTAGTGAGATGGTTCCCTTTGAGCAGATTTTCATGGACTGGCACATTAACATAGTCGTTCTAGTAGAGGCCCATATTAATGAAGAACGCCAGTTGCGCAAATTCAAAAGCAAATCTCTTTCAATCGCCAAGTAGTGATGATTGCGATAGGTTGCCGTGGAAACCGGTCATTTCCGACTGAGATGCTTCTTCTTTTAATATTTCTTTCTGAGCTGTTACTCTGAGCCAATTCCCTCTGTGGCGTGGTTCTCAGTGGTTTTACTGTATTTTCTTACTTAACTACTGTAAACTGCTTTGCCATGTCATCTGTTTCAGATTTATTGCAACAAGAGATGAAGCAGACAGAATCCGTTTTTAAGAAAACTGGTATCTACAATAGAGTGAAGACGGAGCTGGAGAGACACAAACATGTGACGATGAGCGGAACTGCTGGGGGAGGAAAGACCGCCATTGCTCTAATGTTAGGGAAACAGTATAACGACAGAGGCTTCAAAGTATTTTTTGTTACTGATGTTTGCAAAATCAATCTGCTTGGCTGTTTAGCTGGAGAGGAAAAAGTTTGTTTCATATTTCATGACATCTTCAAAACGGTCGATTTAGCAAGGGACAAACAAAAGGTTGAAAATATTTTAAGTGAACTGGAACAAGTGCTGAAAGCGTGTGAAACCAGAACTGGAGATAAAAGGGAAGTTTATGCAATATTAACTGCAAACACAAAAAAAGGTGAAATATCGCAGTTTGGGGGTACATTTTTTAGTGGTTTGTCTTACATTGATCTTACCCTGTTGTCTTGTCAGTACTCACACGAGGAAAAGAAGGAAATATTTAACAACCATTGTAAATCATCAAAATCAGGTGAACTTCAGAACCTCGATGTCGAAGCGATTTGTGACTTTGAACAATCTGTCTTAGGCTTTCCTCAAACATGCAATCTCTTTTTTGCTTTTCCAAATTTTCGCAAGCATCGTGAAAAGTTTTTCTATGAGCCTTTCTACTATCTGAGAGAAGAACTGGAAACAATTCTCCGCCAAATGAATGATAAGTCAGGTGCTCTCATCCTGATGTTTCTGTGTAAAGACAAACTGAACTTAAGAGAAGTGGAGATGCCATCTCGCAACAAGGACCTGGAAAGCATGTTTACATTGATTAAAGATGTTGTACATATTTCGTCACGAACAAAATTAGCAAAATCAATCAGACATTTCTCGGGTACGTTTTTCACAAAGGGAGACATAGCAGGCTTTGCTCATCCTTCCATCTACGATGCATGTGCGTGTGCTTTATTCACTCTCAACCCATCCCTCGTCTTGGAACATTGTCATATGAAGTTCCTTCGTGATCATGTGCATCCTGACCAACATCTGGAGACTTCTACTGTGGACAAGATTCAACCTACTATCCACGTATCACATGTCTACACTGCCATGATCGATAAAAGACGCGGTAGGGCATTTAATTGCAATATATATATATAGTTTCATCATGGCTGAATCATAAAAAAACTCAAAGCACAGAACAAAAAACAACAAATTTGAACAAACTCATCCTAAAATGAAAACTGATCTCTTCCACAGTTTGCCGGCCCCATGCTGTTACAGTGAATGTAGCATGTTTTTTGTAAGTTTTTATATCTTTGGCTTTATTTTATCAACCAGCTTCGGACAGTCATTCAGGGGAGGAGCTGCCAAACGAAGGAGTCTGCAATGATGGTGTCATGAGCAGAGGTAGATCCATAACATCAGCCTAGTTGGCAATGCATATTTCAACCTTATTTTCCTGTAACATTTTAAACTGTGTTTTCCGTCGATCGCCGTTTCACATATTTTTTGTCACTAATGCATCAAATATAGGAATCCGCAAGTCTGCCCAAACCGTCTAGCAAGTGAAGTTAATATGTTAAGAAAGCACTATTGAGGCCTTGATTCTGTTAATCTATCTCAAGCTAATGTAAAATATTGTTGAAGTCATCCCTCTTCGTACAGGGTTTAGGCTTTTTATAATCACTTTGAAACTTTATGCATAGATCTAAACATAATATAAACGTGAAACAAAAAAAAATCAAAACACTTTTCTCTATTTTGTAAATGTTAGCCTACAATGTTGGGGAAACAGATATCAGCTTATATGTTTTTGCTTATTCGTCAGATTGGCTGGACAAACAGGTCATGAGGACAGAAAAAGTGTTTGTTAAAACTGGCATCTACGATACAGTGAAGGAGACGTTGGAGACTCACGGACATGTGACAGTGAGTGGTGCAGCAGGGGGAGGGAAGACCGCCATTGCTCTGATGTTAGGGAAACACTATGAGGAGGAGGAAGGCTTTCAGCAGGTCCATGTTGCTGATGTTTCCAAGTTCAAGCTGGATGTCTACATTCGTGAACTATCTCACAGGAGCGTGTGTTTCATATTTCATGACATAATTAGGATCATAGAGCGTTCAAGAGACATAGCTGATCTTAAAAATGTTTTGCTTCAACTCAGAGTGTGTAAGAAGAGGACACAAGAACACAAACTGTACACCATATTTACAGCTAACACATACATCAACCATGGTGAGATATCACAGCTTGGAGATGAATGGTCATATGTCTTCAGTGGTCCATCGTTCCTCGATCTCAACGAGATGTGTCAGTACACACCTGAAGAGAAGAAACTCATCTTTGACAAACTTTGCAAAGGTTTTGACACAACTGTCGATGTGGAAAAAATTTGTGGAGTCAACCAATCCATCCTTGGCTTTCCTCAAACATGCAAACTTTTTGTTGGGTTCAAAACTTTTCAAAACCATCCTGAAGATTTCTTTCAAAGGCCTTTTCACTATCTAAAAGAAGAAATGAATTCAATTCTTGAACGTGAAGATGATCAGTCTGCCGCTCTTATCCTCATGTTTTTGTATGATGGTCCGCTGAACTTGCACCAAGTTGAACTCCCATCTGACAACAAGGATCTCGAGGATCAGTTCAAGACCATGAAAAGCGTGGTGGAATTTACAACGAGGACAGCAGTAGCCATGGCAGTCAGGCAGTTTCGTGGTAGCTTCTTCACAAAAGGAGATATAACGTCATTTGCCCATCCTACCATCTATGATGCGTGCGCCGTCGCCTTATACACGGACCACCAGGTATTGGTGCTGAAACATGCCAGTATCCGGTTCCTTTGTAAGCATGTGTACACCAAAGAAACAGAACATAAGCCCTCTGAGACTATGGTCTGTGTACCTAAAGCCTATATCAATGAACTAAAAGAGAGGTTGTCTAAATTAGGAAAACAACATCCCAACTATACAGACCTCAAGTCATTGATTATAAAATGATCTGGCAATATCTGTTATCCAGTGAATGGATCTGCACCACTGACAATATAACCATTTCATGACAAATACTGTATAGCGTATATTTCCATGTATCCAGAAGAGAATACTTGTAGAAGAATGTCATGCTTCATAGTGTTATGTATTATTCATTACTGCCAGATAAATGGACAATCATCAAAGTCCCTATTGTGACCATGTATCATCAGACAAAGTAAACGAGCAGGACACATCTGCAAGAAACAAAGTCCCAAAACATTTAAAGCAGATTTTATCTTACCACGTTTTTACTTATAGAATACATGTTCTTTTAATGCTTGGTTAATTTTGTCTTAATCGTCAACATCTCAAGGGATGATGTAAATCCACCCATGCAAGTAGCAAAGGCACTGTGGGTCTCCATGGTCTCTAGCATGGTGATCTACCTTCAATTGTTGGCGATCTATAGCCTGTTTTAATATTGTATTGTTGCGTGTATAATTATTGTAATATGCTAGTTTTACGTCTTAATCTGAGTTAGTAGTGTTATTTACTGACCATCGACGACAGACTTCCTAATCATGTCCAGTATTTCAATTTCCCTTGGCCATGGCAGTCGGACAGTTCCGTGGTAGCTTCTTCACAAAGGAACTTAAAAACAGGGTGTCCGAATTGAAAGAAGAAAATCCCAACTGTACAGAACTCAAGACATTGATTGAAAAATATCCTGGCAATTTCTGTGACTCAAGGAATGACACTTGTAAACCTGTCTTCATCAGTCTGATACAGTTATCTGTTTATGTTGACTTTCTAAAGCTGTAGAAGGTGCCAGATGAAATATGAAGTCTAGACATGGCGATTAAAGATTTTTCATTTTAAGCATATGGTTTCCCCATAATTATGTCTACTCATCGAAGTGTAGGAAGCGAAAATGAAACAGTTGCCACGAGACACACGGTGTCAGATACTAACAGTGAATGGATCTGGCAATATAACCATTTCATGACAAATACTGTACAGCGCCTATTTCCATGCATCCAGAAGAGAATACTTGCTCCATGTTTGGTTTTATTGTTCATTACTGTCAGATACCAACGGAATGGACAGTCCTCGTAAACACTGTATTGACCATGCAGCGTAAACGAGCTGAACAAACTTGAAAGAAAATATTTGTCATATTGTCATACTGATCATGTTTCGTTTGAAATACCTTAAAACTCAGACTACCACAGAGAGACATTGAAGTGGATGCAACGTTAGGAGATCCTAACACTGTTATCAGGCAAATGATGTACAACATATGCACAAGGAGAAATATATACATGACGGGTATTTGAGTTAATACTGACTGACTGACTGACTGAGTTTAGTTTTACGCCGCTTTTAGCAATATTCCAGCAGCATCACGGCGGGGGACACCAGAAATGGGCTTCACACATTGTGCCAATGTGGGGATTCGAACCCGGGTCTTCGGTGTGACGAGCCAACGCTTTAACCATTAGGCTACCCCACCGCCCCTGAGTTTATACAATAGAAGAGGTTGATGTGTGTTGACTTGAGGCTTGTTGTGATAGAAAATGATTGAAGCCAGTAGACAAAGAGTGGGTTATTCTTGATTAGGCTTGATTAGTTGATCGTAAGCCGTAGGGATGAAATGACCTTGACCTCTGTTGATTGTCGGGCTGAGTTGTTTGAAGTTGATTGCCTCTAAGAGTTTTGTTGTCCTGTAATCTGACCGGTTGGCTTCTAGGATGCTGATGTTGTTCCAAAGGATAATATGGTTTGGGTGTGGTCGGAAATGGCTGATTTGGAGTCTGTTTTCTTTGCAGATGTTTGATGTTGCTTGATTCGCAGGTTCACGGGGCGGGACGTTTCTCCTATGTATGTGTCACCTGAAGGTTCTTCTTGTCTTCGAGTTCTGTACAATTCAGCATATCCTACAAGCCAACGGTAAACCGGCTACAAGAAACAAAGAAGACCTTCAGGCGTTGTCTACCAAGAAGTTGCATATCCATAAAAAGTGTTCCTCTTCATCATACCAGCTTCTAAATGCCACTTAAGGAAGTGGGTGACGACTAGCCAAGTTGACAAGGAACCAGTAACACATAGTTGTTATCGTATACATATCATGTGACCCTTTCTGGTGGCACCTCTTCTCAAAGTGAGTGAGGTAGATGGATTTGTCAAATCGTCTTGCAGATTAGTCGCAAACATTCTGCAAGCAGCAGAGCCATGTCCATAGCCACAAAGAAGGTTTACGATTCTGACTGTACATGTGCAGGTGTTTACGCGATGATGATAACGGGTGGTGAAAGGAGAGGTGTCAACTGTCCACCTGAATACACACACACGGGACAAGTGGCAGAAAGTAACTGCATCCGATATTTTGTCCCTGATAAATCAAATTTCAAAATGAGCTATACATGTTTGTCATGGCACCATAATCAACTTACTTTTGAGCAATAGTTGTATGAGTCTCCTTGAACCTTTGGTTGAGACAGCAAGGTTGATGGTACCTCACTATTTAGAAACCAAAGGATGGACGTTCAGGAATGGTGACTGTCTTCCTTCTTGTCGTATAGCCTTGTGTAGGCTTTCATTTTTCCCCTGATTCGTTATGCATAGATTTAGATATGAAACACACGAAGTGGTCTTACTGGTCTCCATGATTCTAGTTCTTGCTGGTCAACCAGTGGAAGTAGTTTTGCTATTTGGTGATGTTTGAACAATAACAGGTCATTCATATACCTGAAGCTTCAGTAAAACTTCTAAAACAAATGACTTTTGTCAGTGTGAACAGAAATTCCTGTCCACATGCATTAACAACAGATCGGCACGTATGGGATCGCACTTGGTGCCCATGGAGATGTGTACCTTTTGCGGAAATGTCTGACCCAATAATAGTATAATAGTACGCGAGTTTTGTCAATGGAGAAATCCATCATTAGACACTATTCTTCTGAGTAAACATTGGGTGGTCAAAGTTCTTTGACAAATAGTGCTGAATCTCTAAAGATCGATATGATATGTCACTGTATCTATGATCTACGCGATATGTAGCTTAATGTTGTTTCCTTCTTGCCGTAATGTCTGACACCCAGATATCACGTGAGAGTTGTCAATGAAGAAGTCCTCTATTTGACCTATCATTTTGTCAGTAAACATCAGATGACCTTAGTTCTTGATCAAATAATGACATGTCACTGTATCAATGATCCACACGTGAAGTTTCATCTTTGAGTTTATCATTAGGTTTAGTGCTGTACAAAGTTGAAGGATGAATAAAATGTTTTGTAAAGTATTGACTTGGTACTTTGTAAGATTCCGAAATGTCCAGCAAAACCTTGGAGGTCTTTCTAATCCATAAGGTATTCATACTACTAGTTTCAAATAATTTCTGTGACTATCCAGAAGTTCTGTACTGCAACTTGCATTCTTTTGTGTTCTGCATTCTTAATTACCGAGAGAAATCTGTTCTAATTTGTAAACACTGTGCCACAAAACAATATTTCCTCATTCAGCTTACATCCAAGACACGCTATAAGCCACAAGGTAGTGACTTGTCAAATCATCGATCCCAACGACACCTTGTAAAACCCAAGACAAAAACCGTAATTTGTTTCAGTTTATCAACAAGTGACGAATGCGTCATCGTGTGGCACACCATAGGGTGATAACTAGGCAATATATCTGAGATATCATTTCTTAAAGTTCATGGTTGATAGCATGGTGAGTCTATCGTCTTAGTTTCTAAACACGCGTCCTATGTTTAACACTGGTGCGTCTGGTCTTGTTGATGATGATGTAACGCAGATAGCAAGGACAGATCAAGGGCGCCTTCTGGGATACTGTGACGTCAGTGGACTAACACCCTAAACCGGGCACAACACTGGAAATATACATGCAGACACAAAAACGTTCATGCACTCTCACCAAAAACTGCATTAAGAAAAACTTAACTTAACTATAACCCGGGCTATGTATACTCTGAACAGGTAAGTGACTTGAAATGTGAAACTACAGAAGCAAACACCAGTGTTTCTCATTCAATATGTGGCAAGAATACTTACGAAATTATACTGATAAACACAAAGTTGTGACAGTCATCAAACACGTGCCATGATTGGTATTCACGCTTGTCATTCAGATATGAACAGAACCTTGATGGCGCCAAACAATCAAATGGCACTTACCTGAATTAATTTAATCATAAAGGAAGAGGCAGACGTGATCGTGCTCACCGTTTACGTGCACGTGACCTGTTGCAGGTAGGCAGAACAGAATATTTACTCCCAAACGTTGCACTGTCATCAGCAGTTTGTTATCCAATACCAGCAAGGACATAAAGAACATTATCGACGTCTCTCTGGAGACCATCAACTCCTCCCTCGGGCATACTTGACGAAGAGGAAAATATTTCTCATCAGTCTCCTTCATATATGTATTCATTTTTTACAGTAAAAGCAATAAAAAGAAGCTAGATTTTTTTACATTTCTGTATAATTTTATAGCCCTAGATAGATTTAGGGCTGCGTGAGCACGATTCTCACAAAATGATCACTCTTCAGACAAAACCCGTCATCCAGGGGGTTAATATCATCAACACTGTCTGAAAGGCATCCAGGGGGTTAACATCAACACTATCTGAACGGCATCCAGGGGGTTAACATCAACATTGTCTGAACGGCATCCAGGGGGTTAATATCAACACTGTCTCAACGGAACCCAGGGGGTTAATATCAACACTGTCTGAACGGCATCCAGGGGGGTTAACATCAACACTGCCTGAAAGGCATCCAGGGGGTTAACATCAACACTGTTTGAACGGCATCCAGGGGGTTTACATCAACACTATTTGAACGGCATCCAGGGGGTTAGCATCAATACTGTCTGAACGGCATCCAGGGGGTAAATATCATCAACGTTATCTGAACGGCATCAAGGGGATTAATATCAACACTATCTGAACGGCATCCAGGGGGTCAATATTAACACACTTAACGGCACCCAGGGGGTTAATATCAACACTATCTGAACGTCATCCATGGGGTTAATACCATCATCACTATCTGAACGGCATCAAGAGGGTTAATATCATCAACGTTATCTGAACGGCATCCAAGGGGTTAATATCAACATTGTTTGAACGGCATCCAGGGGGTTAATATCATCAACGTTATCTGAACGGCACCCAGGGGATTAATATCAACACTATCTGAACGGCATCCATGGGGTTAACATCAACACTGTCTGAACGGCATCCAGGGGATTCATATCAACACAGTTTGAACGGCATCCAGGGGGTTAATATCAACACTGTTTGAACGGCATCCAGGAGGTTAATATCATCAACGTTATCTGAACGGCATCCAGGGGATTAATATCAACACTATCTGAACGGCATCCAGGGGGTTAACATCAACACTGTCTGAACGGCATCCAGGGGGTTAATATCAACACTGTTTGAACGGCATCCAGGGGGTTAATATCATCAACGTTATCTGAACGGCATCCAGGGGGTTTAATATCAACACCATCTGAACGACATCCATAGGGTTAACATCAACATTGTCTGAACGGCATCCAGAGGGTTAATGTCAACACTGTCTGAACGGCATCCAGGGGGGTTAACATTAACACTGCCTGAAAGGCATCCAGGGGGTTAGCATCAA